CATCAAGAGGGCTCTAGAGGCTTAGCATACTATTATAGCTTGTATAGCCTCCTTCCTATTGTTTTATATGTTGATTTATTATATATTGCCATGTAGGGCTCATTCATTCTAATTTTGTGAACTAATACTTATGATTTTTGCTAACTATTGGGAGTGTTGTTAGAAGGCTGAGGGCCTCCAAGACTTATATGTGACACTCTTTGATAAATGTTATCTTCTAATTAATTGAGCTTCTTAGCTTATTTTGAATGGATTTATAAGTTTGTATGTTCGAAAGTATGAGATTTCATTTGTGCTAATAGTTGACTATTATTTCTGGACTTCAAAAGTCCAAGGCCCAAGTTAATAATCGATATTACTTGTGATATAAGTTTATTTCTTTTAACAATGGTAGTGGTTTTTATTGGAAATTGTGCCCTAGGGGCCAATCATTATGTTTTGAACATTGTTAGTTTATGAATTTATTAATTACGTTATCATATTATTTGCATGTTTACTGTGATGACTATCCTTTGATAACTCATGGTTTATCCTAAATGTCCCTGGTCGGTCATCTATGTGGGAGCAAAGATGAAATAAAACCAGTATGACTTTAAAGATATATAGAGATATAAATTAAAGTCATAAGCACATGTAAGAGTACAAGGTGTTGGACCGACCCGCTATGAGAGAGCAGCATGGATTAAGTCATAAGCTTCTCTCATATACAAACCATGTCACTGTGCCTTTTGACCTGAGATCATCATGGATTCCTACATGAGAAACGCTTAGCTTTGACCTAGTCAAAAGTAACTTTTGACTGAGTGATCATAAAGACTATATTCAGGCTTAGTGGTTTTTCATGCGGAGGAATGTGAATGGTCAAGATGGAATTTGTCCCTCACATTCGTAGAGAGACATTACTGGGCCCCTCGATGAGTGAGTCTGAGAAATGTATGGCCATATTATAATGGAAAGGTAGTTCCATTTCTATACTCAGACTACTCAGGGATCGAGAAAGTAACGGTCATGAATAGGAGGATGACATTCTCCATGCCTCATCCATGACCAAAATGTCGTGTGACAAAAAGGACGCGATATGGTTGTATGAAAGGTTGCATCGTTCAATGATCCTCATATGTTTTGGGTAGTCGTGATGTCTTGCTAGAGACCGCTTACGACTTATGAGTCATTATAGTTAATGGCCCACTGCCAACTTCATATGGGCCTACAGGGTCGCACACAAAATAGCCCAACACGAGTTATGATGTCCAGATTCATTGAATCTAGGATATGTCCAGATTCAATAAATAAATAGGGTGGACGTGTGTATATATATATTCGTATATATATATATTATATATAAATATAAGAGATATTAATTGTTAGATTTAATTTATAAGGATAAATTAGATCTATGTAAATTAATTCCGTCATATCTTTATTTTTTGAATTAGATAAATAGGTGAATTAAATCTGTGAGACGGATTTAATATAAACCGTATTTATTTAATTGTTCTCTTATCTAATTATGCAATATTTGATATTGTATTAATTTCGGAATTAATTTGGGATTAATTTCGAAATTAAAAAAATCACTCATAATACCTATAGCATCCTATATATTCGATATTAGGGAGCTAGGGTTTTAGAGTGAGAGTGAAAGCACTAAGGAGATAAGGGACGGCCAAAAGTGAGGAGAGAGGACGGATTTTCAAAACCCTAGACGGACATAGACGCTAGCACGCCGTTCGAGGTTGAGGGCTACTCGTGTGGATACCGGTAGAGGAAGCCGACCGGAGTTGTCGACTTCGAACGACAAAGGAGGCGAGCAGAAGCATCCTGAACGGCCGAATCATCGAGTCACCAGGAAATTGAACACTGAAGGTAATGCTTCTTACTACCTGACTTAAACGCGATCGGTAGATCCGGGCAAGGGATTGAAAGTTTTAAAATTTTAAGTTGATTTCTGCTGCGCGTCGTCTTTCAATTCCCTTCAGTTTTATGATTTTAAGGTTTTTTCTTTTCTATCATGGTTAATCTTTCAACTAAATTATTTGATTTGATCTACTTTGGTTTTGGAAGAACGATTACTGCAGTTTCTACCAAATTTTCTTTGTAGCCGTTTGTTTCTCTTTTTCTGTTTGGATTATCCTCCAATTTATATCTTCAATTATGATATGAGTGACTAGATTTGTAAGTGATAATTATTTCTGTATGTGCTTTAGTTATTGTTTGTAGTCATTCCATGAACTTGGCAATTTCTCAATCAAAATCCCAACCAGCCACCAACTCATTGGAGAGATTAATCTTTTCATCTTGAAGTTCCTCCAACAATTTGTGATATTGATTGATCTGGAGTTTGAAGTCTTTATCATCAATCATCTTTTATTTGTAGAAGTATTTGATCGTAAATTTCTGCTTCCCAGTATCCTTGGCAGTGTATTTAAGAACCAGGGACTCTCATATCTTGTTTTCCTCTTTGTAGATGCTGTAGATATCAAACAAGTCATTAGATAGAGTACTAACCGAGATGTGTCTACATACTTTGTTGATGTGATGCTAGAGACCCTTTTGGCCTTAGTCAGCATATGCAGGAGATTTAGCTTAAGTTAGTGCTCTAACGACCCTATGCATATCTAGAATAGTATAGACTCATTCTTGCCACCACTTGAAATTCTTCCCATTAAACATTTCTATCTTGGATGTGTTAAGAAACGGTTTAGGAAGCGGCATCGCTGTTAGGATATTAACAAAAGCATTATTGGCTCCAATAGGAATGTCATTGTTTTATGCCATGATGTTGAATATCACTTAAGATTGTAGGCAACAGCACTGAAAATCTGACAGTTCGAGTTGCGTCACAAGGACACTGTTCTTAAGAGATATTCTAAAACCTCTCTATATATTAGGAAACATCACTCCCTAGGATTAAATGGACCCTTCTTGCAAGAACAAGGTGATAAAATAGTAGAAGGCAGACGGACTAAGAATAAACATAGGGGCAAGAGGAAGGAAGACTAAGATCACATACACTTGGTACTCTCATAAAACCCCTTTTATAGGCTACGAAAGAGGCATAGATTTTAGATGGGCATGGGGCATGCCAAAAAAGGCATCCAGTCACAACACTAAAAAAGCACACCAGTAAAGCCTATGATTGTTCGCATCAATGGCCAACCACTATTTTGTAAACACCCAACCACTTGGTTTTTAGTTTTTATACTAGGACAAACAAAAATTTTCTGTTAAGCTTTTAATTTATTTGGCAATAAAATAATTTCTAAAATTTTTACAAAAATAATCGGGTAAAAAGGTGCCCAACCTACATCTAACTCACGTGTGGGGGGAAATCACTAGTTTTTAACTACGTTTCCCTCTTGATGGCCCGTTGTTGTGTAACCGAGGCCTTGGCCCATTTACCCCCGCATGGCCACTTGTTATATTATATGCACCTGATTCTTTTCTATAACATCCCAAATTTTGGCTCATAGATACAAGTAATAGCACAAGGAAAGGATGATTATTAAGTCCAATGCAACGAAAGTCTCGGAGATCCCTCGGAAGGAAAAAGAGATTTTCCAAGAGCAAATGTGTGAAAGAATAGTGTTCGGAGACTAAAAAATGATGAATTGGAAACAACTAAGGGCCAGAGGTTATGCCAGAAACTTGCAAGAGATGGTTCCGAAGGTTAGGCCTAAGGAGGGACTAAATTGCAAAGAAAAGATTCCTAGGCCAAGTAGGGACTTAATTGTAAATAATAAAAGTTCTGGTTGGTCAATGCTCAGAGTTACCAAAAAGGGCCCAAATGACTTAGAAAAATTCCAGAAAAATAGAAATAGGATCCTAGAGCCGATATAAGGCTAGAAATGATGAAAATGCCTTGAAGTCATTCTAGGGTTTTGGACAATTTGAGGTAGTAACTTAAATTGAATTATTTAAGTTATAAGACGGCCTCAAATAATCAGGAAAAACTAGGGAACAGTAGCTAAGGAATTTACACAGATTGTAAAATTAATTCCGTCCCTAGAAACTGACGAGGTTAGCTTTAATTAAATTTAAAGCCTATTTATACCCTATCCGGGGAAAGTCAAAATAGCGGTCTAAGGTTTGAATTTTGGCTTAAGAAAAATTAGAGGAAATTCCTGTGATGAAAAGGAAAGAATGAAACCCAAAGACAAATCGACGGAGTTATAAGCCAGTAGAAAAGAACTCGGCAAAATCGACTCTGATTAAATATTATTTAATTAATTACGTCACTGAGGAGAGAAGGATGGGATATTCCTTTCTCTATAAGTATACCATGAGAAGATTACGTTAAGAGTAAATGGAAGATATATTGGCAATACTCAGAAACCTAGAAGGGAGCCGGACTGACAATGTCGGGTCTCTTAAGGGTTAAAATAGGAAATTTATGAAAAATTCTCAAAAATTTCCTAAAAATGGAAAAAGAGTAAATTAGGGGTTTTTGAGTCATATAATGTTTTGGAAGAGAAAATACCCCAAAATAAATTAAATACATATAAAAAGTTTAGAGGTTTAGAAAACAATATAACAGAGAGTGTGTGTGTTGATTATGATGAGAGAAAGATGAATGGACTTGAAGGTGAAAATAAATGGAGAAAACATGTGACATTTAATAGGACCAAAAAAAATAAAGTTAATAGGTGTTGATGAATTTTATTATTTTTGCATCCAACTAAACTTTGTAGTGTCAAGTGTACTCCTAATGTAAATTTTATTGTTAAAAATACAATTTAAAATTGATTTTGTGAGCCCTACTAATGGTAAAGTATTGGATGTCAACAACGTGCCTCTTTTAATAACTTTATATATATTTTTATATTCAAATAAACTTTAGGGGTGTACAGTGCCTATTGTTTATTGAGATGAATTTTGTTACCCTTTGTAATAATTTTTTTGTCTGTTGGGATTTTATGGTAATTTTCCTTGAATGATTTTCCCTTGTCAAGCGCCCCTCAGCTTCGCTGCTTAAACCCGCCCGCGCCGAGGCTTATCCGTCTCTTTTGAGTTTACTGGTGCGATATCCGATGATACTCCAAGCGACGTCCTCTGGTTCTTCTCTCTTTTCTCCTTTTCTCGCTTGCAACAGAATCAATTATTTTCTCTGCTGTAAAGGACGCCGTAGCATTCGAATTTCTCGTTGGCATTTCAAACCTCGACATTTTGCAGGTACTTCCTATTAATTTCCTGCCTGCGATTTGAGTGAATTCGAGTTGTTTGCTAGTCAGCTAACGAGTTTTAAACTTGTCATATGCGTGTTGAATTTTATGTGATGCCATGACTAAATACTTGCCCTCCCTCATTTTCCTAGTAAATTGTTTAGCATAAATTTTATGTTTCCGGTTTGACGGGAAAGGAGTTTAACTCTCTTTGGAAATTCTAACCTTTCCCACTAGCTTTTTTCTTTTTGTTTTTCAATGATGGAAAAATGTCGATGGATGGATATGTTTTGCTTTATCCCTTTACGAAAAAACGGGAATCTTTCATGCTTTAGGAAATGACTGGCATCCGTTTTGATATTCAGTTGCTGCATCAGAGAATGGTGTCTTCACCTCTCCAGAGATTGCAAAATCTTTCGACTTTACTGCAGAAGAGCGCATATATAATTGGTATTTTTCCTATTATTAGTAAGAGCCTATTTTCTTTTGCAATTTGTTAATGTTAGTCATAGTAATTTCCTTACGGAGTCAATGATGTGTTGATATTCTTAGTTTCACATTAAATTTAATATCTCTCTTGGTGAGCAAGTCCTTCCTAGTTATTTTTTGTTTAAGTTGATTTTCTTGCTTTTGATTCAATTAAAAATCTGATTGCTGACTAAATGAACTGATGAGGGCTGTGGATTTGTCTTATGAGGAGCATGGAGCAATTTTGGCGGTAATAATGGTGGTGGTTTGAAGGTGAAAAGAAGATTGAGGTTTTATGTAGATCTGCCATCTGTTCGGTGGAATTGTGAAGTTTGTGGGGATTATACTATTGGAAGGCACTGATTATCAAGAGAAACAAATGAATAAATCTGAATTTCTGTTCCTTTGTGAACTATTTTTTTTTAGACATACAAGCTTTCAAAGGTTTTACTGAGTCTAGATGGCTGTATTGAAGAATGAAGAATGCAGAAGGACCATTTTTGGGGACTCCTCTGTTTCTTGGCATTGCATGCATATAAAAAATGTGGCTTTTCCTTCCGATTTAGTCTTTGGCTTATATATTACTGTTTATCTGGTGTTTAATTTAAAATTATTTTTTGCTAGGTGGGAGTCTCAAGGGTATTTTAGGCCAAACTTTGATCAGGGAACTGAGCCTTTTGTTATATCAATGCCACCTCCTAATGTTACAGGATCTCTGCACATGGGGCATGCGATGTTTGTGACTCTTGAGGTTTTAAATTTTCCTAATGGATTTCTGTTATCTGATGTCTCCAAGTATTTGCATATTTTGGTATCTACATTTACCAGACATGCATCAATGTGGTATAGAGGTCTTTTTAAATGGCAGAGGCTAAATAATACTTTGTTGATACAAACATAAATGATGCATTATGTTTGAGTTGATAACAATGATTTTTAACCCTCATTCTCCTTCTTCTCCTTTTCCTTCTCCTTTTTTTGGCTTAATTAAAATAATGTTTTTCTCATGCTTGCTATTCAGCCTTTCTTTTTAATAAAAAAAAATTAACCTTATACTTTGATGAGTTTATTAACAGTTCTTTGCAAGTTACACATGTAAGCAAGATGTTGTGTGTAACTTTGGGAAAGTAGGACTAAATGATGTTTTATTTCATTCTTTATGAATGCCACTTATTTGACTTCATAATAATGTTTTATTTATACTCTATTTGGTGTCTTTTGTCCTGGTGCATCTGACAAAATGTTGTCATGGTGAAGTATCCGTTCCCATTCTTATAATGCTCTGCTTTGCAGGATATTATGGTTAGATACCACCGCATGAAGGGAAGGCCAACGCTTTGGCTTCCTGGCACTGATCATGCTGGTATAGCAACTCAGGTTGGTCACTAAATCTTTGGGACTTTTATATTAGATTAGTGTAATTCTTAATTCACTTGTTTTCTGATAGGAACCAGTGGCCTTTACTAGTTTATTGTTCAGTAATTATTATGTTTTATGTTTTTTATGTTTTATTTTGTGTCTTGTGTTAACTGTTATAAGTGTCCAGTGTTAGTTACATCAATGTCAGTTTTATATGGATAGGATAAGGTAGTTATTTTCAGTTTATGTACCATAGTAAATACCATACATCTATTTTGCCACAGAAGGGGATGGGTGTAAAGCATTTTTCAGTTTGCCTTAAACTTGCTCTTGTCGTAGAATTTCAGATTCTGGTTCTAGGCTCCCCCCTTACTTTATCTTTCTCAGATCTTCTTTTCCCCTTTATTTCTGTGCTAACTCTCAAGATCTAATATTTTTTGTTGAATAGTATTAGATAGTACTTCATGCGTATAGTATGGTATGTTGTCTAGGTTCATTTCCCTAGCTTGTACTATGTACTTTCTCTTTTACTAGCTCACTAACTTAGAAGATACATAAGATATTCAGAACACACTCATATTCTATAATCTTTCTTTTCTTATCAAACTGAGCATTTTCTTTCTCCTAACATCTTGCAATTACTTTTCCATAGATTTCTCTTTCTCTAATAGTTCTCAATACTAAATTTGATGCTGATCTCTGATATCTTGTAGATGTGAAAGGAAAATAAAGCATTCATTCAGGGTGGTGTTCTATGTAATTTCTGTGTCATAGCCTTGACCCTTGTTGTCTGATATGTAATAAACAAAATGGGAGAGAGTTAGGAATTAGTTAAGGGAGTTTAATGGGTAGTTAAGGTGTATAAAAGGGACACAGGATGGATTATTCTAATCATGCTACGAGATTAAATGGATTGAGTCTCTCTTGTGTCTCTTCCTTTTTACTCTCTTCCTCTTCTCTCATTTTCTCCTCTTTCTTTTCCTGCCGCCTCCCTTTTCCTCTGTTTCTCCTTCCTTCCTATCTTACTTTCACATCACTGGTATCAAAGCCGAGCAGGGGTATCAGCTGCCCCCCAGTTGCTCCTCTAGCTTCTCTCAATTTTAGATCCCTTCCCAAATGTTTTTTAAAGTTCTTTTTATCATTAGATTCTACATAAAATGAGTGATATTTTGATATATTATGGGCAAAAAATGGTTTAGTTTTCAATTTTTTACGATTTTTCATAGATTTGATATTCTAAGATATCAAAATGTCTTCAATTTTTTTTTTGGGAAGGGGTCCAAAATTAAGGGGCCGTTGGGGGCACAGTTAGGGGGGTAGTTGACCCCCCGAGCCCATTGAAATGGGGTTCTTTAAGAGGGGGTATTATATTAATAAAAGGCAAGGTAGTTAGACATTAGGGAAGGTTGTTAATTATAAAATAGCTGCTAGACATTAGGGAATGTTAGTTATTAAATTGCTGTTAAACTTCACTTAGGACTGCCTATGTAAAGGTTTAATCTGAGGCAATTTTTGAATGTGAATACAAGTTTAGTATTATTCTAACATTCTCTACTCTCATTCTCTCTCATCTTTCTTGTTTTTTCCTTCTCTCTTTCTCTGTCCACTTCCCTGCCTTCTGGTACAAGCCGAAGAGAAAAGAAAGAGAGAAGGGACACAGAGAGAAGAGAACAGAGTTCGAACTTTTATTCACCCGTCAATTACACGTGAGGTGGTATTTATATTCTCTTGTCGTTTAGGAATCGAAGTCTGTTATAACTAATTCCTCATTCTGTTACAACGAAACGCACACTTGCTTCCCTGCCAGCTAAGCATCTAACACTTAAGCTACTGTTGACGTGTATCAATACTCCCCCCATTAAAAATTGTCCTTGTCCACAAGGATCTCACGAGCTGGAGCGATGGTTGGAAAATCAGGGAACTGGGACTGAATAAAAGGCAAATCTTCCCATGTGGCATCTTCAAGATTAGTGTGTCGCCATTGAACCACTACTTGAGTCACTGGTAAATTGCCCCGCTTAACGAGCTTCCTTCCCAGTATTGCCATTGGTTCTGCAGCAAAATGCCCATTATCGTCAACAAGGGGCAACATGGGACTAGCAGGAACATCCAGCCGAGTAGAACACTTGAGAAGAGAGATGTGAAAGACTGGGTGGATACGAGACCCCTCTGGTAGCTTTAATTCATAAGCAACAGAACCCACTCGTTTCAGTATCTCAAAAGGGCCGAAGTATCGAGCAGCGAGCTTGTGCAGGGAAGAGTTATTGATCAAATTTTTGCAAAAGGGATGTAGCTTTAGAAAAACCTTGTTGCCAACCATGAAGACTCGTTCAGAGCGATGTTTGTTGGCCTGATGAACCATATGCTGCTGAGCTTTTAACAGGTGGGTCCTGAGGAGTTAACTGGTGAGTTCATGAGAAAGACACATGATTGACTACCTCCATGTTCCCCTGGAATATAAGGGAGGTGTGCTGGAGGTTCAATACCATAAACGGCCTGCAAGGGAGTCATTCCAATAGCTGAGTGGTACGTCGTGTAATACCATAATTCAGCAAGCGAAAGCCAATTTGCCCATTGCTTGGGAAGATCACCTGTCATGCACCTCAAATAACATTCTAAGCAGTGATTTAGGACCTCCGTCTGCCCATCAGATTGGGGATGATAGGCAGAAGAAAAATTCAGTTTGACCCCATAAAGGCGGAACAACTCTCGCCAAAATTTCCCACCAAAAATAGGGTCCCTATTGGTAACAATGGATTTAGGAAATCCATGCAGCTTAACAATAGTGTCCATGAAAACTTGAGCAACTTCCCGTATATGGATGTCTAAGGGCGACGAAATGGGCCGTCTTGCTTAGCCGATCAACCACAACTAATATAGTTGTTTTAGAGTATGACTTGGGTAAGCCACTAATGAAATCCATGGACAGGTCGGTCCAAATATGCTCAGGAACTGGCAAGGGTTGGAGTAAGCTAGGTGATGCTAAAGTTTCATATTTGAACCTCTAACACGTAATGCAATTGCGAACGAACTCCCTGACATCATGTTCAAGACCTTTCCAATAAAAGACAGCAGAAATACGTCGAAATGTGGGAGTAATACCAGAATGCTCGCTAATGGCGTCATTGTGGAAATAACCGAGTAGATTAGAACGTAAGTTGCGGTCAGCACCCACAACAAGTCTGCCTTTTCTTTTAAGGAGAGAAGATTTCCAGGAATAATCAGAATGTGAAGATGGGTCTCGTTCGAGGTCTTGAATTAAACGTTGTATGTGGTCATCATGCTCCCAAGATTCCTTAACACGTTGATGTAGAGAAGTAGTAGGGGAAGTAATAGCAGCTAAGGTAGCATCATGCTGGTGAGATAAGGCATCTGCGACAGTGTTCTCACGACCTTTACGATATTCAATCTCGTAGGAAAGCCCCTAGAGTTTATTCAACCATTTCAACTAATTAGGAGAAATAGACTTTTGTTCCAATAAGTGTTTTAATGGTAGATGGTCTGTGCGAATGGTGAAGGTGCGACCCACTAGGTAAGATCTCCACTACTTAACAACAAAGATGATGGCCATCAACTCACGTTCATAGGTAGATGGGGCTCGTTTGCGAGGGCTCAAAACCTTGCCTGCAAAAGCCAGAGGATGACCCAATTGCATTAGAACGGCCCCCATACTCGAACCAGAAGCATCAGTCTCGATGACAAATTTTTCATCAAAGTTAGGGAGCGCAAGAACAGGGGAGGAAGTCATGGTAGTTTTAAGAGTAGCAAAGGCCGTGTTAGCCTCAGAGGACCACTTAAACTTTTCATCCTGCTTCAGTAAATTTGTCAAAGGGGCACAAATGGAGTCATAGTTCTTGACAAATCTTCTATAATAACCGGTGAGACCCAAGAAACTTCTCAAGGCTTTCAATGAAGTGGAAATAGGCCAAGTAAGAATTGCTGCTATCTTTTCAGGGTCTGCCTCCACGCCTTTTTCAGATATTAGGTGTCCCAAATAATGAACCTGAGTGGCGGCAAAAACACATTTGGTTCTCTTTGCAAATAAGAATGGACAGAGCCTGAATCAGATGGTGAATGTGAGAATCCCAATCCTTACTGTAAATGAGAATATCATCGAAAAAAACCAAAATGAATTGGTGTAAGAACTGTTTAAAAACAGAGTTCATGAGTCCCTGAAATGTTGCCGGCGCATTGCTCAAACCGAAAGGCATGACTACGAATTCGTACAACCCATCATGAGTTCTGAATGTCGTTTTGTGAATGTCTGGGGAGTACATCTGAATCTGATGATAGCCTGAACGAAGGTCTAGCTTGGAAAAGAAGGAGGCGCCATGTAGTTCATTGAGCAGCTCCTTAATGAGAGGAATAGGAAACTTGTCTTTAATTGTAGCATCATTTAGGCGGCGATAGTCAACACAGAAGCGCCATGTACTGTCCTTCTTATGAACCAACACAACGGGGGCAGTAAATGGACTATGATTGGGTTGTATGATTCTCGAAAGTAACATCTAGTGCACTTGTTTCTCAATCTCCTCTTTCTGCAGGGGTCCATAGCGATAGGGATGGCAACTGATGGGATTATCGCTCTTGAGATGAATTCGGTGATCAAAATCACGTGGTGGGGGAAGCGAAGTTGGTTCGGCGAACACATTTGAAAAAGAGTTGATGACTTCCTCCAGTTGAGCTTATCGGTCAAAAGATAAAGTTGTGAGCTAGTGCAAATGGCAGAAGACATCAGTGTCAGATCCTACTTGAATTAAAAACGTGTTAGGCATGGACGATGTCTTGAATTCCCACTGAATCCTCACAAGGCCCGGTGTTGTTAGAGCCCAACCCATGTAACTCATAAAACCTATCACGGTACATGAAAGCCATGCAATGTCGCTCCATATCTAGCATAATACGGCCCAGCTTCTGAAGCCATTGAGCACCTAGTATGAGATCAAATTGGCCCAGGTCCATTACCAAAAAGTCATTAGAAAACCAAGACCCTTGCATTGACCATGATAGGTTGTGAG